GAAAATAGAGTTTGTTGCGCTAATTTTACATGGGATTCTGCCTTTTCCAAGTGCTTTTAGACATTAAATTAGGAACATTTTAACGTGATCAAACAATGGAATTACCTATAAACAAGGTCAATGAATGTGGCAATATGAATCATAATATGTAAATGTACAGAAATATACAGTTAACAGTTGGTTTAAATAATAATGGATTGCATGCCCTGGGACAGACTGTCAGAGGCGAGGCTGCCATATCGCACAATCGGCCCCTCTGGCTATCACCAGTAGGCGGTAGGTGACGAGTCTTGACCACGGACACAATACCGAGAGTGTCCGAGCCGGGGCTCAAACCGGCAACCTTCTGATCACAAGGCGAACTGCCAACTCTTGAGCCACGATCGCCCTAAATAGCAATGATAATAAAACTTATGTGATGTAACACAAGCTTATAGGAATCATGTTATATACTTTTCCATAGCATTACATTTGAATTAACAGTTCAATCTTTCAAATAACGGACAGATATTTGTGAAATCATGATACATTTGTGAATGTATTTTAACAATCTAAATATGCATATGTACAGACAGATACATTTAATAGTCATGAAAATTATGTTTTATTGCATTACAGTGATTTAACGTTAATGTACATTTGAAATGTGAAATCACAGTCTATTTACATAACTTTAATGATATTCTAGAAGAACAGAACAAAACTGTAAACTGTAAACTGCACACTAAAATACTTTTATATTAGGATTTTTTCCTACAGTACAGCCATACCCGCAATCTTGTGGTTGTTAGTTCACATTCATTGGCTGATGCTTAGCGTCATGTTATTATGTGTCCCAACATCCAATGGCATGTCACGTTGTTTTCATGGCCACACCCTCACCCCAGGTGCAGAGGCCTATTTCTGTTTAGGAATGTTGTGAATACTTTGAGATTTATATTAATTGCAATTTCTACCTCTACATTTATTTTTTAAAATATATCATTAGCACAGCGTGGCCGTGCAATGTTTTATATGTTTTTTTTAAAGTTTTTATTCCTATTAATTATATTTTCACTTGTTACCTCTGAATTATTGAATCAGACCCAGATGACATGGAATTTTCAGCAAAATTATAAATCAAATACTCCTTTAATTATTGATTATTCTCATTACTGTTCGATCATTTTATATATTTTTCCATAGTTTTACATTGGAATTTCACAGATCATTCTCTCACATAACAGACAAATATTTGTGAAATTATGATACATTTCTGAATGTAGTTTTACAATCTAAATATGTACAGAAAATATATTTAAAAAACAAGTAAATTGTGTTTTACTATATTTACAGTGATGTTATGTTATTTTACCTTTGACATGTAAAATCACAGTCTACTTATGTAAATTTAATGATATTCTAGAAAGACAGTACAAAACTGTAAAATATACAGTAAGATACTTTGACATTACTATTTTTTGTAACAGTGTAGTTAATGCATTTGGCATCTTGGGAACATTTGAATCAATTTTTTAATTGCTGAATATTAGGTTTTAAACTATGTCAGGGTATAAGATACTGTTGTGTTTAAGTAACTTTGCTGATTTGACTGCAAGCCCAGTGTCTAAAGGCCCACTGTGGCTAATCACAGTCACCACATACATTTGGTAATTTGCACATTTATATCAGTGCATGTCTGGATATCTAACTTATATCTCACAATCCTGTATGTGACTTTTACGACTTGGTTCTTTTGCAGGACAATAGTGCCATGGAAAGTCTTCCGTCAGTGCCTTCATGACATACATCCCATCAGCAGCGGTCTGGAGGCTATGGCTCTCAAATCCACCATTGACCTCACCTGCAATGACTACATTTCTGTGTTCGAGTTTGACATCTTCACACGCCTCTTCCAGGTTGGTCAATATCAAGTAAATTAATTTCCAACTACTTAATCTGATTATTTTGACTCATATGACCTTTTACTTTAGACTGTAGTTTGGTTTTATTTCACTTACTTCGGCTTATCCGGGCAGGGGCAGCAGTCCAATCAAGGACACTGGTGCCACAGTTTGTCAATCTCTTGTTTCCTACTCCCTTCTTTCATAACCAAGACACTGAGATACCCAAACTCATCAACTTGTGCCAGCAAGTTATCCCGGACCTGGAATGATCACTACACCCTTTTCCGGCTGAGGACCATGGCCTCAAATTTGGACTTGTTGATCCCCATTCCTGGCACATCTGTGCACTGGAGGCCGCCACCTGATGAACACAGCCACATCATTTGCAAAATTCAGTGATGAGATTCTGAGGCCTCCAAAGTAGAAGCCTCCCACCACATGGTGGGAGGCTTCTACTACTACTTCTACTACTTCTAAAAAAATCTGTCCATAAAAACTATGAACCAAATCTCTAGAAAAGTGCAGTTCTAAGGGAGTCCAACACACATTGAAAGCGAGTCCGACTTATTGCCAGCAAATTGGACCAAGCTCCTGCAGTAGTCACATAAGGATTGAAAAGCTTTGTAGCAACAACGCAGACAGGTACCACTCCAGATCTCCATGTGATATAGTCCGGACATGTCAACCAGGACAACCTTAAAACATCCAGAGCCTTTTGGAACTCAGGGCGAACCTCATCCACCCCAGGGACCTGGCCACCAAAGGAACTGGTTAACTGCCTCAGTGACCTTGTCCCTAGTGAGGGGCGAGTTGTCCCTCTCATTCACAGACTGCTTCCTCTATGGAAGAGGTGTCAGTGGGATTGAGGAGGTCCTCAAAGTATTCCTTTCACCACCTAACTGTATTCCCACTTGAGATCAGTGAGTAGAGCACCACTTTCCCTCCCTGAGTTGCCGAATAGTTTACCAGAATTGCTCTGAGACAGACCAAAAGTTTTTTTCCATGGCTTCACCAAACTCCCCTGAGTTTTTGCTTCAGCTACCACCCCAGGCTGCATTCCAGTTGGCCTTCTAATACCCGTCAGCTGTTTCCCAGCTTAGTCCCACAGGCTAACCAAGTCCAATAGGACTCCTTCTTCAGCTTTGATGGGTCCCTTCACCTCCAGTTTCCAACATCTGGTTCGGAGATTACCACCATGACAAGCACCAAGAACACCCTCACCCAATGACTCCAAGAAGGCTGGGTGCTCTGAACTGTCGTTAGGCCCATAAGCACATACAACAGGCAGGACCCGTTCTCTAGCCCGAAGGTACAGGGAAATGGCCATCTTGTCCAATGACACGAACCCCAGTGTACAAGCAGCAAAACGAGAGCATACAAGAATACCTACCCCTGCCCATTACGTGTCACCAAGGGTAACTCCAGACTATAACAGAGTCCCGTGACTTTTCAGGAGAATGGTTCCAGTGTCAGAGTCGTATGTTGAGGTGACCCTGACTATATTTAGTTGGTATCTCTCAACGTCACGCACTTGCTCAGGGTCCTTCCCTATAAGAGAGGAGTTCCGTGTCCCAGTAGTCAACCTCAATAGCTGTAGATCGGTTTGCCAGGGCCCCCGCCCTTGATCCTTACCCATGACACAATGCACCTGACACCCCCAGTGCCTTCTGTGGGTGGTAGGCATACAGGAGGCTAAGGCTAAGTTCCGGCCACCGGATGGTCTATGTCAAGTTCCCTCCACAAACCTGACTTAAGGAGGGTGATTGAATATTTTCAATTCAATTCAAATTGTTTATTGTCATGTGTACAAAGAAAAGCATTTCTCTGTGCAATGAAATTCTTTCTTTGCTGTTCTGAGTCTGATAGCAGTGGGGAAGAAGGCGTTGTTGAGTCGGGATGTTCTGGATTTCACACTTCTAAAACCGTCCCGATGGCAGAAGTGTGAACAGTCCGTGTTGGGGGTGTGTGGGATCTTTGAGGATGGAGCCAGCTCTCCTCTGGACTCTGCGATGGTAGATGCTCTGCAGAGAGGGCAGCGCAGTCCTGGTGATCTTCTCCGCAGTTGTTATCACTCTCTGCATGCGTTTGCGGTCCATAGCAGTAGTGCTGCCATACTATGCAGTGATGCAACTTGGTCAGTGTGCTCTCGGAAATGCAGCTGTAGAAGGTGCTGAGGATCTTGGCCGACATACCAAATTTCCTCAGCCTCCTCAGGAAATACAGCCGCTGCTGAGCCTTCTTGACCAGCTGTGTGGTGTTCAGTGTCCAGGTGAGGTCCTCAGTGATGTAGATGCCTAGGTATCTAAAGCTGCTCACCCTCTCCACTTAACGCCCCCAGATAAACAGCGGCTGGTGAGCCCTCCTCTTCTTTCCCGTGTCCACTATCATCTCTTTGTCTTATGAGTGTTGAGGGTTGAGGTTGTCTTCACACCATGACACCAGACCAGCCACCTCTCTCCTATAAGCCGCTTCGTCCCCTCCAGTGATGCGACCAATCACTGCAGTGTTGTCCGCGAACTTCAGTATGGTGTTATCCCTATTGGAGGCGACACAGTTGTGGGTCTACAGGACTGAGGACGCAACCCTGTGGAATGCCAGTGTTTGTAATAATGCTGGCTGAAGTCCTGTTGCCGATCCTGTCGGACTGGGAAAGTCCTGTAGCCAGTCACATGGGTGATCTGGGGGTTCTGGAAGGTCCGGGAGGTCTGGAAGGTCTGAGGGGGTTGGAGGATCTCGAAGTGGGTGTAGAATACATTGAGGTCTGATGGTGCTGACGGTGGCCCTGTACTCCGGATGTGCGCAAGCCTTGCCACATCCGCCCGGGGTCAGCAGAAGAATAGAAGCCATCCAGCTAACTTCTGTACTGCGTCTTAGCTGCTGTAATGCCTTTCCTCAGTCCATACTTTGCAGCTTTGTACTATGTCTCATTGCCTCATGTAAATGCAAGAGATCGAGTATGCAGCATGTCTCATATCTGACTATTGATCCAGTTGTCTATAATGCGCTGGTGGCATCATGGAGTTTTCCTTACCGGAGGCTGCAGTCCAGTTTCCTTGGTATACAGAGTGAGTCTGCAGTCCCTGGTGTCTACCTGGGCGAACAATGACTTGAAACTCCGGTGGAAGGGTAAAGTCCAGAAGATTGTGTGAGTTACTGAAGTCCAGTAGTGCCTGTCTCGGCTATGTTAACAGTGCACAACACTTATCTAGTGCAAAAAGAACAAAAGCAAACAACAACAAACAACAAGTCGGCATCTGAGAGCAGAGCAAGCAAACATGTCTGCCTCGTGGGGCGCCATGGTTTTGCCTCCTTTATGGATTTCTTTCCTCTTCGGGTTTTTGGGGGATGTTGCTAACTCCGGGACCGATAACAGGAACCACACCCGCAGTAGATGTGCACGGTGTGAGGTCTCGCAGCAAGCTATCAAATACGGCGCATTTCTCGGCTTTTAAAAAAACGCTATGCGTCGCCAGGTGTTTCAACAGATTCAAGGAGTTACCTCCTTTGCACAGTATCACCTTAAAGCACTTGTTGCAGGCTGCTGAGTTTGCATCTTTTGCTGTGAAGTACAGCCAGACTTTGACCGCTTCGCCTTGGGCATTTTTAATCTGTAGCTCTGCTCTAAAAGAACGTACGTACCTGGCCCCGCCTACTATGTTTGCAAGGGTAAAATGATTGGCTGGAATCCAAAGTGTCTGACATCTCAGGAAAAAAAAGCACCGAAATAAAGCACCGAAATGTGCGCTGCTTTTCGGTCTGGTTACTAACGTTTATGTCAGAACCGTCAGATAGCCGTACCCATCCCTAAGGAACAGTTTACCTTGAAGAGGCAACGCAATGAGTGTATGCTGTTATACATGACCCAACTTCCGTTTACTTTATGTTTACAATATAAAACATTAATACTTACAAAAACTGCATAACCACAATAACATGGTTTTTTTTTTTCAGCCTTGGGGATCGATTCTGAGGAACTGGAATTTCCTAGCGGTGACACACCCTGGCTATATGGCCTTCCTTACTTATGATGAAGTCAAAGCTCGACTGCACAAGTACATCAACAAGCCTGGCAGGTATGTAATCCTTCAATTTCAGCATGCAGAAAGGGCTGGATCACAGAGGGTCTCAGGATGAATGGATACTGTCATTGCTTCCTTAACTTGTAAAAATTTTATTTTGCCATTTGTTCTGTCCCTGTTACTTATTTTACCAAGCTGTAGAGCGGACTTTCCAACTGCTATGACACTTCTGCTTAATGCAGTTAACTCTAATTTAGCTTATTTCGGCTTAGAATGCTCAAAAATACTGGCATAAAGAATATGACACAAAATATGGCACAGAATTTTAACCAGGTTTGTACTTTGAGCATTTGTGACTTAATATTCATAGTATGAACACAGAATTTGCATTAAAGCTAGTTTTCAATGAGTCCTGCTGGTCCCTTTGTTTCAGCTGGGAAAGTTTCTATCGTATATCGTATACCCCTAATAGGACCTTCCACTTCTGTCCCCATTGGTTCTCCTCTTTTAAGCCACAGCCATCAGTGACTGTGTCTCCTTACACCTTTAACACCTAATAAGCCAAAGGCTTTAGATAGAAGTTGATCAGCAAAACACTTTATTCAACCTCTAAAAGGAAACTCCTTGCTCTGTCTCCAGGTTGTTGTCAGCCAATGACTTCAGATTTATGTGTGACAAAACAGTTTTCTAGAAGTACTGCCTCATATTTCCAGTTTGAAAATAATAAATAAAAATATTTTTACACCCCTTTTTACTAGTGGTTTGTTCATTCAGTCAAGTGTAGTAGTGTAGTGTTCCCACACAGTACTAATCCCTAGACTTGTAGTCAAGACCGCCTAATCCGAGACCAAGACAAGACCAAGACCAGAGGGTATCGAGACCGAAACGAGACCAAGACCGAGACCAAGTCGAGACGAGACCAAGACCGAGACAAAAAAAGTATTTAAACTGCAGCCAGATGCTGCTTCGTTTACAGGTGTCAGGCATATTTATGTGTTTTTGCTTTCGCACAGCCCTCCTCACCACTGTCTACTGTCTCACTCACTTACTGAGAGGACAGACACACGCTGCACTTGACTGTCGCATCTCTCACCCTCTCTGTTTTTCACATAATGATATTATCCTATATCCTTGCATGTGATTGGCCACAATATGGAGGGATTGGAGCATAGCTGAGCCACTGTGTGAGAGCTGAGCAGCGAAAGGAAATTAAGTGAGGGTAGAAATGACTGAAAGATTATTAGGCTCCTTTTTGAGTTTTGTTCAAAAAAGAATGACTTCATGTAGGAAAAATATATATATGTCACATATGCAGGACGCCTTAAACTATTTTTTTAATTAAGCAGCAAGGCAGAACAAAGTCAGGGCTGTATCAAGACACAGGGACTAAACCCCAATTCAACCAGACCCAGAACTGATCCGGAATTAAAACGGGACTACAACAGTTCAAAATCAGGACTACTTGGGACTTAACCAAAACAGAACCAGAATCAAAACTAGATGATAGTAGCACTAAAAATCATCATAGATCTGCACTACACTTATTTTTTAATTCTACCAAAGTAAACTATTTAGATTCAGAAAAGTTTATATAATTATTTAGCCTTGTTGTGCAAACAAGCCTGCATAACTTAATAAATATAGAATTTGAAAAGTAACAAATGGTATCTAAAAAGTTACACTAGGTACTAGATACATATTCTGATGAGTTTTGGCAAACAACCATTTGACTAACATGTGTCTCACCTGCTCTTGTTCCATCTCTGTTCTGTCCTCATTCTCCTCTCTCTCTCCCTCTCTGCTCCTTTCTCTCCCTCTTTGTGCTGACAATCAAGCCAAACACCAACATCATCAAATATACAGTGGAAACCAGATATTTACATGCTCTTCAGATAAAAACACAAACACTTTTTCAATTGTAACATCAAATCACACTAAATGTTTATTTTTTTAGATTGATAAATATAAAAACATATTTGTTAACTTTAAGAGTAAAGAGAGAAATTGTCTGTATTCCTTAATTGCAAATGGACCCAAAATGTATACAAAATTGAGCCACGCTTATGGAGTTCCACAATTCTTTTCCTGGTGTTTTGGTTGACATCTCTTGATTTTCCCATGTCAAAGAAACAGGCTCTGTGTGTTGGGGGGCCTTATATGCATCCACAGGTGTGCCACCAATTTACTCACATGGACTCTACTAACTTATCAGAAGCTTCTTAAGCTCAGAATGGAATCGCCTGGCGTTTTCGTATTAATTAACTTAGTGTATATGTACTCCTAAATTTGATGAAAGTGATTAAAATAGACAGCGCTGTCTCTCTTTATTCTGACATTTAACTAATTCAAAGATATTTCAACATTTATTTATCTAAAACAAAACAAGTTTACTCTAAATTCATGTTTAACAGTAAAAAGAAAAGTTTTTATGTTTTCTCCCTAAAGTGTATGTTGATATCTGGTTTCAACTGTGAATATACTGCTGTGTATTGAAATTCCTCTTGTTTTGCATAGAAATATACTGAACAACATACAAAGCATAATATATAAAATAACATCTACCTGAGTTTTGTCTTTGAAAGAAGCTTCTTATGTCCATTGTTGTGTTCATCAGTACACAACTGAAACCGATTTAGAGAGTTTGTTTAGCCGTGGAGGGTAACAACTGAAAATATGAAATGTAAGCTAAGACTCTCTAAAAAAT